CGACACACACACCAACACACACAACAACACACACACACGGACTGTTTTCGAGACCGGTACGACCGCTAATACATCAGCCGAAAGTGATATTTTCATGCTGTAAGGCATTGAGGTTGTTAACGAGTGAACCGACAGCAACCTGAAGAGAGTTCGGCCATCGTTTTTTTTATCATAAGACTGGGCGCGATTTCTTCGCCGGGTCTTCTTCTATTGTTGGTCCCCCAGCTTTTGACTTCCGCAGTGTCCAATTCTCCAACATCGCTTCAAAGATTGTAGTTCTGACTACCTTTCGCTGACGACCTGATCTAACACTTAGGATTCGCTAAATCAGTAAAAGGCACAGACTCTCCATTCGATGCGAATCAATCTCTGCCCATCATGTCGTCAGATCAGTAGCTTATGCAAGCCCCAGCTACCATATACTTCGAGTTTTAAGTAGATAATTAACTCGCTAGAATATTGATCGTATAATCACACACATAATAATTTGTGGATTCCCGGATAAAGGGTACTCATAAAAAAGGTTGAGCAGGCCTTGGAAATTTTGAATGGGCGCCCAATTAATAGAAAGCGGAATATACTGTTCCCAAAATTGAATTCTGTATTTCTGTGCGGGATCTAGCGGGAATATTATTGTCTGGGGTTTACCTTCATAATCCAGACTTCCTCCGAGGAACGTATGCTTCCGTGTATTCCCGTAGCCCCACTTACTGAATCTCAGCCTAGCCAGATGTCTGGGCGATCAATGGGCGTGCTTGTAGACTGTCGACCGCACAAAAACGAGATTCTGTCACTTCATTACGTGAGGCCGTCGATTGCAAGCCTGAGTGTCGGCCATAGTGAGTGCGCGCATCACTAGTTACTACATCTCACCCGAGTTGTTAGCAGCAATTCATTATCAGTTATGCTCTGCTCATGCCGCAGAAGATTTCATTTAAGAACGAACAGTGCCCCCATCTTGCATTCAGACGCTCTTTTACCTGACCACAGACGTACATTTAAAAGCCTTTAAGCGCAAAAACGCAAATATGGTGAAACATGACCTTCGACTGCTAATACATGCACGCTCTAAGTAAGCAAATATCCTGATTAGAGCGGTATGCCGAAGAAAAGGGTATACCGAATTAATTTCAATAGCGACAAGCCGGAAACATGTCCCTTGCCATGATGAAACAGGACCGAATCTTACCACTGTGCCTTGTATCGGCACCGTATGATAACACCTCGAAACGTTACTTCCACGTGTAGTTTTAATACTAAAATAGCCACCAAGATTACCGAACATTCGAAGGAGATAAATATATTTTAGTAATTTTTAATACGTGTACTTACATGCATTTGGCTTCAAGCGTGCGTACTTCTGCAACGATATCGGGTTGACTATGCTTGTAACACTATCATTTCCCTCTGGTTGTCATCACTGACCGACGACCTCACGTCCTTTGGTTAAATGATTCAATATGGTTGCTGGAAAAATCTTATTGGTCCCTATTCGTGCTAGGTAGCTTGCAAAACACGTCATCGTACAGATTTTAGGTAGCGCGAACACTGATGCATCAAAAGCTTTCCTCACCATTGGAAAAAAAATGCTAATAATCACCATTATGGTTGCAATGCACTGGCATTGTGCCTTCAGAAGAATACGGCCGCGCATAACCTATGATTGGTATGAACACTTATATTAACTTTGCAGAGCTATCTGAATTAAGGGCCACGTAACGTCGGCAGGACTATTACCGCAATATTGGCAATGGGGTGCAGCCGGAACACACTCCGGCGTGAACGTCATATGAAGGGTAAGTTCTCTCAATGCTCAGCCCGTTCAGCTGCTCGACATGTTCGTTGATTCAAATGACTGGTAGCCTGAAAACAGACATCACATAGTCGCTAATTAAAAACCCGATTGCTAGTAATTGCAATCACATAAACGCTTTTAGTACGCCGTGCAGTAATAAGTAAGGCCTTGATGACGCGTGATAGAGAAAAAACATACGACTCTCAAATCACCAGCAAAACGGGAAGTTATTTAAGTGCAAAATGAACAGATATTATTTAAAGGACCCTGGTTGGATATTTGAATGATGATAGCAGTATTATCAATAATGGATAGCTGTACAAATGGAAAAGGATCTGCACAAAGAACCATATCGTTACGATGTGAATACCGAGAGCTTGTAACGAGGCTTAATAAATAACGTCTAATACGGAAGAAAATTCATTATACTATAGAATCCAACAATCATTTAGTTCAACGACCGCACCCGACACAATACTCTAGAGTTATTGCAATGCCCACTGCAAAACCGACTATATAACTATTGCGCAATCGATACTAAAATCGCCTACACACCTTCGTGAAACCCGAATTCCTTCGCCGAAACATGCTGATCACTGAATCTAGACGCGTGCAAAAGGTTTTGACTGAGCTCGTTGTCGAAGGCGTCGGTCACTTCTCCTGCCGTAACTTGCCACACCTCACACAATCATGGTCAGCGCACTGTCGCCGGAGGAGATTCCCTGTAAAAACAATCACGTCTTCGTCAGAGGTTAGCCAAATGGAAGCGTCTACAACTCTAAGCGTCTAATACTTGAAGTTTAAATCCAGTTGATAACCTGTGCAGTGTCTTAGACATTAACGGCCGTTAAAACAATACAGGTACGGGTGTTGAAGATTACTGTTGTTCACTTACCACATTTTTATATTCTAAGGCGAACTCAAGCGAGAAATTGAAATTAGTGCATTCGCACTGTTTTTTGTAGGAACCTCAAAGAACGCGTGAACAGTGTGTTTTAAAGCTTCACGAAAGTCTTCCGCCTTCTACAGGCCGAAATAGTCAAAACGACTGCCAATGTGCGATAACGAGATCTGTTTTTTATACGTCTAAATTAACCCGCCGTCATTGTATTATAGTCTTACCATAATTAGACGCATAAAATGCACATCTGCCCTTCCCCACCCACGTTTTCATATAAGTCGGTGATACTTCACTCACAGGCTTCTCGGGATAAGAACCTCACATCGAGTGGTTCTGATTAAAATTGAACATGACAACAGAATAGATGATAAAATCCAGTTGTTGAATCACTCGATTAGCGTATGTTCACAAGCCAGAATCGAGCGCAACTCTAGCGTCCGCTTCGCTCACGACGGCGTGAAAGGAAGCAATGTAATATTACGCTATCAGCCATCCACTGGCGGCCTGTTGGCACTCCAAGCGGTGCTGGAACAATACTCGTTTTACACGTGCAATAAGGGAACGCCGTCGCCTGGAACCAAGTAGTCACTCATATCAATCGGTCAGATGTCATGTTCGACCATGTATCGATAGCAGTGGGTTAGCACTACGTGTGCCTCTCTGTAACAACGTCTAATAGGGCTATCTGGGTTAACGAGGCAATTATTATTTATAAGTGAAAAAAAAGAACACGAGGAATCATGTCAAACAGTACAGCGCCTGCTGTAATATCGTGAAATGCTTTATTCGTGTAACAATAATATAGAGGTTATTCACGTGTTAAAATGTCGCTCAGCATAAATACTGAAGCTATCCACAATCGAAGATGTTTTTTGTTCCAAGACCATGTGATTATGTTGTAGCAAAGAGGGTTCGCATTCAGAGCTGGCTAATTGAGTTTCCATACAAGGAACTTCCGTTCGTAACAGTTTGATGGACTAGCCTGCAGCATAAGTGATCAGGCAAACCATTTGGAATGCATCTCGATGGTACCATCCACAGCATCAAAAATGTCTCAGAATGGAACGGTATACGTAGTACAGAGAGGTTCATACAACAAAGAATCATTACTAATTTGCCCGCAAAACATCTAATCCATACAGCTTCAATTTCCCAGTCACGTAACCCGAATGAATATCTTTCTCGCGCCCATCAGACGAGATCTAGGAATAAGGAAATATCACGAGTCCGAGTATAACAAAGGAGGCATCCCAGACTATCTACTATATTCCAAACTTACAGTGATATCACGAAACTACACGTTAAATCATGGTCCAATTTCTTAATGAGATTTATAATAAACGGTCCATTTCATAGTGGTAAGGAAGATTATTAGTTCCACATCCGTATAATGTGATCTCCTGAAAATGTTCACCGCAAATGTATATTACTCGTTCGGAAGGCAATTACGCTCATGAATTCTATCCCAGGTGACAAGTTTTGCAACAAAAATACCGCAACCCCCAGTTTGTCAATTCTCAGCAGAAAGACGCGTGGCATGGAGTTTTGGCCTTTGTCCCTGGATACCGAGGAAACAAGCTAAATCAGAGAATAGAATATGAATACTGAATAAAACACAAATAACATACTCTTTTAACATTCTAAGCATACAGTATATCATATGATAAAGAAGATTAATTGGGATTTGCGATCTGAACTGGAAGG